AACAACAACAAATCTTGGAGAAGTTTATCTTCAGGCTGATAATTTCTTTAATATTCCATTTTAATGCTGTTAATAAATATAATCATTTTCATTGCAAAAAATGGGCATATAGAAAACAGAATAAATGGAATATAGAAAATATACAGAAGCATGACAAAATAAAGATTAACCACATTTCCACTATTCAGAGATAACCACTATTAGCATTTTAGGCTATTTTTTCCAGGTTATGTTTACATACTAAAAATAGAAATATTTTCAAAATTGGGATCAATCTAAAATTTCACACATCATATCACATACATATTTACCATTACATTTTAATGACTGAATAATATATTCTGTTATATTGAGCTTACTATAAGTTACTCAACATTTCTCCACTAATGAGCATTTAGATTTTTTTACCATTTTTTTCAGTGATGCACTGAATATTGTACATAAATGATAATATGTTCATGAAAAGGAGTTTTTTTAAAAAAGCATGACATGTTCATGAGGAAATAAAAGATTAGAACAAGTTTTATCTCTACTCTGCTTGCTTTTACCTTGGTCTTTCCAAAATCACTATCAGCATACTTCTGTTAAAAACTACTCCTTTGAATGAAAAAAGTCACGAAGACACTGAACACACCTAATGTCTGAACAATAAAAGATACAGTATTCCAATGAGAAAAAGTGGTTGGTTATAAACATCATTTAAATTCAAAAGGTAGCTGCTAACCTGTGTTGTGTGCTTCTAGCTGTGAAAGGGAGTTCACAGCCACTTTGCATAGTGAACAATACAGTAATTTTTTGGCTTTTTCTTCTTCTGATTCAGAAACATTACCAGGGGCTCCATTTGTGCTCTTGGAGGGAGAAGTAGCTGCTCCAGGTGGCATGGATGTCGTGCCAGATTTGAGGAGAAATGGGCCACCTTCAGAGATAGACGGCTGACTGGCACTGTTGCCTTTTAACTTGCCTTTATCTTCTAAGAGAGATCAAAGGAGATGCTATTGAAGCTCCATATATGATACAGACACAGAAAAGTCACCAGAAATAAGTTCAAAATGGAAAGCTGATTTGTGTACATAGATTTTACTGCAGCACAATGAGCTTGAATTTTCTAGAAATTCAACACAGCAGTTTCCATATTAGTCCACCCCAAGATCATGTTCTTCCACTTGGAGCAGAAAACCTGCTTTCTATTTTCCTGGAGTTGTAAATTCCTGGAGTTGTAAAAAGACCTCCAGGGAGGTCTTTAAAATACAATAAAATCAGATACCCTGCAACACAAACTGACTCCAGGGCACATCGCCATCCTCCTCACCACCCTCCAGCACTATTATAGGAGATGATGATAATGTAAAAGAAGTCATTAGGCAATGTTAGTTTCATTTGACTACTCATGCTTTTATTACAATCCAAATATCAAGTGCAACTTCACTTTTTTCACTGTTAAAATTCTAACTTTGGAGTATGGACTAGAGGGGAAGGCAAAAAACATGCTTAATTTGGAATTGTGACGATGAGTAGGTAAGTTTTGCTGCTCTTGAAATGTCAATGCAATTTATCCAAACTATAAGAGGCAAAGATTCCGTTCAGTTCATTAGCTTATTAATAACTGCCTTTCTAAATAATATTAACTATATGCACAATAAGAGGTTTAGCCTAGTCATTTACAAATGTCTTGGCATTTTGATCATGTAGCTACTAAATGCTTATAATCCTCAAGGCCTATGCACAGCCTATAAGAGGGGTCTGAATGACTAACACATTCTACCTCATCGAGGTTCATTTACTATTCAAGACAGGCTCTGCTCAACAGCTCTTTTGGGAAAGAAACTGGAACTTCTTAGGCAACAGCAGAATTCACCACATATTTAATCCTAGTAGAGCTTGCGCTCTCAGAAAATGTCTACAGATACACTTAGAAACTCTCAGTAAAAGAAAAGGAATTGTAATGGAAAAGTAGTTTGATAGTTGACCTAATTTGGATGTGTGTATGAATGGCCCTGGAGTCCTGGTGTGGCACTGTAGGATAAGCACTGGACCGCACGGTCGGTCAGCAGTTCAAACTCACCAACTGCTCCTTGGAAGCCCGGTAGAGGGCTGCTATGATTCAGAACCATCTTGATGGCATGTAACAACAATAATAAATGATTGGGCTGGTGACCAAGAGGAAAGTAGAGACTAAGGAACAGTGATGTGGTGGTCTATGTCTGTGTGTATGTTACATGACTCTGCATATGGGGCAAACCAAAGCTTTCAGGACTCACCAAAATGGTAGGATTTCATATTTCTGCTGAAACCTAAAGAAAAGTCAAATTAATTTAAGGAGAAAGCAGTTGGTTTCCACCCATTTTCTTGAGTTGTATCCCTCTGGGATGCTATAGCAGAGGAGCTATAGGATTCCAGGTCTGGGAGTATTTGGAATAAATGCTAGGATTCCTTGTTATCTTCAGGTTTCACACTTTGTATTTTATTCTACAGTGTCTTAAAACTTTAGGCAATATACAATGGGAAATAGTTCGGGCTTTTACTCAGCTGACTTCAATAGTACACGAGAAAGGAACATAATAATTCTCTGGTAGCGTAGCGGTTATGAATTGGGCTGCTAATTTCAAAGTCAGCAATTTGAAACTACCAGTGGTTCTGCATGAGAAAGATGAAGCTTTCTGCTCCCGTAAAGATTTGCAGCCTCGGAAATCCTATGCAGGGTCACTATGGGTCGGAATCAACTCGACAGCACTTATCAACAACAATCAACAGTTGGTAATAGTTGTGGAATTAGATTGGAAATTGTTTTAGGTCTGAAACTCTCTCCTCTATAAGGGTCTCCCAGACTGAATTTGGCATCTATGGAACTCACAAAGTAGAGAAATAACTCAGGAATCTAAAGATTTGCCCCTATGGAATTACTTAGTTTCTTGTGAAATAAACCTAAGTTAATGCATACCTTCTTCTCTTGCTTTAAGCATTTTATATTTAAATAAATTTGACCTAAGAGAATCTAGCCTCAGTCATTTACTTACTCTATCTCATAGTCTTATGACTATGTTCATGCTTGTGCTATGGATGTCATAGATGAGATTATATTGGAGGGAGAGGCTCACAGATGCTAACATTTATATAGAACTTCATAGTTTACAAAATGCTAGCAGTTACTTTACCTCATTAGCTTTCACAACAACCTTATGAAACGGGTAGGACAGATGATTTTGTCTGAGAGAGGAGGAAACCGAGACTCATGAAAATTAAATAAAATTCCACAGATCTGTAAGTAGCATAAATGAGTGTGATGTTTTCTCTAACTGATCAGTATATAGTGTACTAATATGCCTGCCTAAAGGGGAAACAGTATGAACATAACATTATAAAAAGGCACACAATAGTCACCCTAAGATGTGAAGTAGCTGTTGTTACTTTACGATTATAGTTTAGGTGCAAGTCATATTGGCCTTAAATGAAAAAGTCTTTCCTAATCAATAATCATCTGATTCAGGTTACACTGAAAAGAAGGACACAATCCTATTTTTCTCTATATTGCTATTTGTTTTTAAAAAATTAAACAAATTTCCTTTTTGCATCTCCTTTTCAGAAGAGGTCATTTATTTATTAACAACCTGCTAGTTACAGATAGCATGCTAGATCTTGAAGAGAACAGTAAATAAAGTAGAGATGTTGCTATTGTTGTTAAGTGCCATTGAGTTTGTTCTCACAGTGACCCTGTATAGGGTTTCCGAGGAGGGGCTGGTGAGCATGACCCACTGACCTTGTGGTTCAAAAGACTTTGCAGTCCAGAACATTAACCCACAGTGCCACAGACCTTAGGAAAGTAACCATTTAGTAGAGGAAATAACGTGGTTATTTAAAGTCCTATAATTTATGACAGAAACTGTAAGAGGCATGAAAGCATACAACAGGAAATGATTACTTCTGCTTGGGAAGAAAGAGACATTTTTCATAAGGAAGTGGCATTTTGGTTGTATTTTGGAGGTCAGATTTAGATAGGCATAGGATAAAGGTGAAAAGGAGTGGGAAGGAAATAGAAGCAGAAACAAGTAGGAATCCTTAGGGGTTTGTTTGGTTAATACTTGGTAGTTGAGCATTGTTTTTTAAGTGCCATTGAGTCAGTTCTGATTCATAGCAACCCTGTATAGAGTTTCCAAGGAGCGACTGGTGGGTTTGAAGTGCCAACCTTGTGGGCTAGTGCTTATCCTACAGCTGCATAGGTAGTTGAACATAGCTAAGAGTAAGGGGAGATAGTATTATAAGGGTGAATTGAACCAGAAGGCATGGAGCATTTTAAAACTATTCAAATTGATACTAAGGGTACAACTTTCCCTTTAAAAAATATTGAGAGGTGTGGTATGTTTAATATTTACAAGATATGAAAGCTAGCTAGTTAAATTATATTTTAAATATTTTTTTCCCAGATAGGCCAGAGTTTTCATCTTTGAGACTATTAGGAGTAAATTTTAACTTTGTTGTTGTTGTTAAACGCCATTGAGTTGTGACCCTCTGAGGAGCAGCTGATGGGTTTAAACTGCTGACCTTGTGGTTCACAGTCCAGTGCTGATCTTATAGCATCACACCAAACTTTGGAGGTGTATGATAGCACCACACCAAACTTTGGAGGTGTATGAATAGTTCTATCAGATTCCATTGGATTGATACTGGTTTGTTAAAAATCAGGAAAGGCAATGATAAATTTATAGATATTTAAATTGTGCCATTCTTTCTGGATGTGTAAACTTAATAAACTTCAGAGTCTAGCTATTCTTAATTGCTTGATATTTTTATCTATCATTTTTCTTTCCTTACTGGCATTTACAAAGCCTTCTTATTTTGTATTATTTGAAAGTTTAATTAATGTACTGTTTACTTCAGTTTCTTGTAATAAAGATGCATGTCATCTGGAACATCTGGTTAATACAAATTCAATTTGTAAGTATTCTCTCACATAATGTTAATTAACAGGTCTTCTGACAGTTAGTTATTTTCAAATTACTCAAACACCTTTTAAAGGTTTTATCCTATAGGACTTTGAAGAAAAATTTGCTTAGCAGCCATTGTACGTTCACACACTGGACTGCAAGGTCAGTTTGAACCACAAGGTCAGCAGTTCAAGCTCACCAATGGCTCTTCAGAAACCCTATACAGGGTTGCTGTGAGTCGAACCTACTGGAGGGCACTTAACAACATTAGAATTGCTCTTTGTAACAAATATCCATAATTTATGCTTCCAAATGAGTTTAGTCCTTCAAAGTAGCCTCCTTGGGAAGTTCCACATTGATTACAAAGCTCAAATATTTTGGAAACCTCTCTTTTGTAATTGCTTTTAAACCAAGTTGGTACTTTAGGTGACAAAAAAGAAAATCAGTCTTTAATATTTGTTATCCTTATTTTTTACCCTAAAATCTTTACTCAAATTAATGCCATATTCACCAGACTTAGCACTATATTTCCCAAACACAGCATCAGAGGGCTGATATTTCAATACCAACATTGCAAAAGAATATACCAAAAATTCTGAAAGCAGTTTTAAGAACCTATTCCCAGTGGTAAAAGGAACAGCTATGTTGTATATAGGTCTTAATTTAAAAAACAATCAAAATTAATTCTACCAACACTGTAGTTCTCATATTGAATTAGAACTTTGGAAAGTATAATCAAATTTTTATTTTCCCACTCATAAATTTTAGTCTTGGATTTAAGTTTATTAATCTATTAAATCT